TGGATTTGAGTTTGCGCATAACATTAATTCTGCCTCTTGAGCATTTAGGAGTAGTGTGTCGAAGTTCGTCCTGTTAGGCCCAGTCAGTGTTCTTGTGAGAAATTGAAGATTTGGGCTAAGCTTTTCTAGGAAGGTTCGACAACGCACTTCTTCCGAATTTCCTATGTGGTCTGTAGAAGTTGCTTCTATCATAGGAATTAATCTGGAAGCAAATTGCTCTACTGATTCTCCTTCATTCTGTTTGCATATGCTTAGAGCTTTGAAGATTAGCTCACGATTTTGTGTTGTATCTAAATTTTCTTTGATTTTGTTAATGGCTCCCTCAAGAGTTGCTTTTTCAGCTTGGGGTATTTTGTCAAATATTTTTCTTGCCTTGCCGTCTAAGCATACTTTGAGACGGGCAATTTTATCTGTTTCATCCCACTTACCATTGCATTCAATTATATCTTTGAATTTCCTGGCCCATCGTACAAACTCAGTTACCGAATTCCCTAAGAAAATTGTGAATGTAGGAGCGTTTTCTGTCGTGAGCATACCAATATAATGGAATCCCTCGGGATTTTTCTTTAATTCATTAATGGCTCCCGCAGGAGTTTTGATTGTATTATCGTTTTTTGAAGATTGTGAGGATCTTTCCTCAATAGGAAGAAAAGACATTGAATTATCCGAGATTGGAATTAATAATAAATTTAAACCTGAAAAATAAAATAAATAATATAAAAATAATTAAAATAATTAAAAATAAATTAATATTTGAAAAAACACAATGATGAAAGTATTAATGAGGAGAATGATATAAATGAGATTAAGATGCTAAGATATCAGCTTTTTGTTCCAGCTTTCCCAGCGACTAATCTTTTATTTATGAAAGTATGATTAATAAATGTTTGTAAAAGTAATATGATTTTTTACTATCTGGGAATTGTTTACATTAAACTGAAATGGAAGAAAATTTTATTTTAAAATTGACTTCCGGTCACTGAGAAGATATTAAAGTGGCTTATAGTAATAATTCCTGTGGGAAACATTAATGAAATAATAGAAAAATAAAAAATTAATTTTTTTGAAAATGTGTAATAAAGTAGATTTTTCATAGACTTTGTTCTGGAAAAATTGCAATTTTCCCTAAAAAAATTTTTGTATATTTTCGATTTTGGGAAAATTGAAGGAAATTTAGGCAATTAGAAAGAGGAAAAAAAGGAACTTTAAAATGTTTTCTAGAGAGAGACTGATTTAAAATTAGAAAAATTAGAGAAAAAAAAATTTGGAAAAACGAGAAATAGCAAGTTAATGTCTGCCCTCCGAATTTTAGTATTAAATGGAACCCGCAGGTTATGAAGAAAACTGGTTCATGCTTTGAGAAATAGATTTTTTTACATATTAGTATTTTTGAGGACCCACGCAAAGGTTATTTTCGCTATGGAATTTTGTTTATCCTCGTGTGAAAATGTTTCATTTTCCCCTTAGAATTGATCTTTTTTGGTGATAAAATTAGACATCGGACACTTTATGTAATTCAAAATGATTTTGGATCTTTTATTCACAAAAAATTTTGCTCAATGATCCAAAAAATGAATTAAAATCAAAAATTAAAGAGAGAATTAAAACCAAGAATTAAAACCAAAAAATAATTGATCACTTTAAAATTTTGGGTTCTAATTTGACTTGAAAATTGTTTCGAATCTTTTTTTATATTTTGTGTGGCCTCCGCAGAGGTTATAGTCTTTGTTTGCTAAATACATACATATTTAATTTCATTTATTCAGCCAGCTAAAATTTATTTTTTTCAGTCTAAATAAGCCCTGCTTGAGAGGAAAAGTTAAAAACTTAAGTGATCTATTATGAAATTCATTACTTGTAAAAATTAGAAAGAAAACTAAGTAAGATTTTTTTTAAAAAACGCGATAGAAGAGATTAAAAAGAGATCAAAATTTTTGTTCTTTTTCCAATAAGTTAAAAAAAATTTTCTTGGGATTTCGAAATCGAATATTGAAACCAAGGCTTTTTTTGTTTTGTTCCTATATTTTAAATTTTTATTTTAATTTTTAAAAATAGAATTTATTGGGGCAGATTTAATTTATAAACTATTTGTTTACTTTTTTTTTTAAATTCTGTAAGCGGCTTTCATTTAGAAAATTAAAGCACTAAAATGGTGGTTGGGAATATAAAATTTTTTACTATAATTGAAAAATAAGAGAAAACAATATCAAAGGCTGATTTAAGGAAGCCTTAAAGAAAAGACTAGAGTACACAAGTATAATTTATTTATAATTCAGTTCCAGGTTAAAGCGAGAATGAGAAATTAGACACGTTATAAATTAAGAAGTCCCATAGGTAGTCAAATTACAATAGGATCCTTGAGAGGTTACGTATAAAAAATAATTACCTTCAATAATGAATTGCTCACCAGTAAACTTATCATTATTTGGTCAAAATTGATTTCTTAAATAGAAAACTAAACATGTTTTATAATTATTCTGTATCATACATTTGCTTTAATTTCAAATAGAATACAATTAACGGACATTTGATATATGGAATAAAAATGTTTATAGATCATTTTATGAATAAAAATTTAGTTTCCGCCAAAATAAATGAAAGAATAAAACATAAAGCCTTGAATATTTACTTTTATTTGTGCCCCGCGGGGATAATTGAAAATATTTTCTAAAATAATAGAGAATAAATCACCCAGATTGACTTTCTAAAGATATATTTTTAAGGAAATCTAGCAAGATTTGTTTACAATTTTCTGATGGATTATCTGAAAAGAAAAATCAATCCATTTCTATATAAATTAATTATGGTATTTCGAGGTGAATTTTTTTTAATAAAAAGTTGGTGAATCTATAAATTCCTTTAAAAAAATTTTTTAGATAAGAAAAATAAAGTTGAGAAACTAATAAAAGAATAAAGTACACTTTTATTGTAAAATTTTAAAAGAAAAATGAGCATAGAGAGATTGCTCTTGAAAAGAAGTGTTAAAAATATTTTTCCCTGAGAATTAGAGATAAATGAAATTTCGAAAATCCCGCGGGATGACTAAAATAAAATATTTTGACTTTTAAATTTCTTTTTGAAAAATCAGATTTTAGTAAGCCTAGCAATTTAGCTAATTTTCAGTTGAACCCCTCAGGGTTTAATTATAGTTAAAGAAATAAATTAATAAATAAAAAGAGAAATAATCAATATGAGAAACTAAAGGAAAGAAATAATGTAGTAAAAATTCTTAGAAAATCCCAAAAAAAAATTTCATACACTAAATTATTTCAAAATATCTAGCTTTTTGGGAGAGACGCCTTTCTAGAAAGTAGTTTTTTACCTACTTTTTTCTAAAAAATTTTTTTAGATTTTATTTTTATTTTTTTTTACTTTCTAAACTAAAAAAAATTTACTCTCTCAGCTATATTACATTCTAATCTATTTTGTTTATGAGAAAAATCTTTTAAATTTCATATATATACAAAAGTTTACTTACAAATGCAAAATTTTTATTGGAAGTTTTGAAGATTCATAAAGTATATAATTTCCATACTGGAAGGTCATTTCTTGTAGTTTTTGTGGAATTTTTTAAAGAATTTCTTCCCATTTTGAAACGCATTTGTAGAGAAAAGTAGTAATGGATTAGTGTGAAGATATATAGAATTTTACAATATGTATAATAAATGATAATTATCGCGAACGCCGCAGCGTTTTTCAATAAATGAACAATAATTGCCTATCTTATTGAAGGCACTTTTTGGGAACGAAAATTTCTATCTTTCCTTTTTGTTTCTGTAATTGTATGGCCTCCTCAGAGGATTGATAAACTTAATATATCTTTCTCTAAATATAATCCTCTTATTGATTTTAATGTATTCTTTTTAATTTTTTTATATAAATGGCCTCCGCAGAGGATAGATCACTTTTTAAATTAACACCCTTATATTTCCTAAAATTCTTCATTAAAACTATTTTATTCAAAATGGGTGTTACTGAGGATAAAAAATATTTTTTTAATATAAATGGCCTCCGCAGAGGATAGATCACTTTATAATTAACCCCCTTATATTTTTAAAATCTTCATTCAAATATTAATTTATTATCAAAATGGGGGACCATGGATTTTGAGCGCAAAATATTTTTATTCTTATATAAATTATTCATTCATCAAATTAAATTAAACCGCGGATTTTGAGTGCACAATAAAAAATAAAAATCCATCTTTAAAAATTCCCCGACCTATTTCTTACTCGAATTTTTTGGCAAAAGGTATGGAACCATCCGGTGCTACCAGTAAAGCGGTTGGTCCCGTTCCCCAGTGCCTCGTTGTTTAGTCGTTGTTATATCAGAGTCGCGCATGCTTGCAATCATGTGTGAACTCCGCAGAGTATAGAAATAGGTGAATCGCAGTGGGGGGAAATAGGGAGAGCTCTTCCCTATAGACTCGATGGATTAGCCGGCCGGCAACTCTGTTGAATGAATGAAGAAGTGATCCACCTTTGCCTATTCCTTTAGGGCTTATATGCACCAGCCTACTTCCTTATTGCTTTCCCAAGGATAAGTTAGTGGCGATGCTAAGCTTCGATAATGGGTGGCTAATAACTCTCTGGGAATGGCCGTTTGTAATATTCTTTGCACCTTCCTGCAAACTTCCGTTAACTAGAGCGACATTGCTCTTCACGTGTTTTTAGGATGATATCCGCCTTACAATATTTTACCTTAATTTGATTTATTCCATTTTTGTTATTTAAATCTTTAACATAACGCTTAAGTATTGGAATATATTTAAGAAATGCTCGGCGATATTCACAACTAAAAATTTAAAAATTATTTTTTTGGAAGTTAAGGGATTTAAATAAGAAAAAGATAATGCAACAGAAATTTACAAAAATTTAAGCAACTAATGTGAGGCGGTGTTTTATTAAATTTTGATAATATTAAATAATTGAGTTATTTATAAAAAGGTTTAATTACCCAAGTTTAAGCTTAAGATTTTGAAAATGTTCTTAAACAAAAAAATGTCTACACCAAAAACTGGTAAACGACCAAAAATCAATAAAATTTTTGAAAATTCAACATCATTTACCCATTCTCCACCACTTTCTCAACAAAATATTATCTCTATTTCTAAATGCGTGGTAGAGCTCCTCAAACCAACAATTGAACAACTTATTCGATCAATAATTAATGAAATTAAAACAACACCAACAAATACAAAAACTGAACAAACACCATGGGGATCTCACCCCTTTTCCAATAATAATCAGAACTCACCACCCATACAACACCTTATTGATATTTCTAATTTTAATGCTTCAAATTCTGACATCGTTATTGCTAAATCTAAAACAGCAGTCGTTGAAAAATTTCCTGAGTCTGATGGAGACGTTGCAGCATTAAAAGAAATTGTTAAAGAATGTGGACTTGAGAAGGATTTGGATGAAAAAGGTATACATAGACATGGCACAAATAAAAATAATTTCAAACCACAAATTTTTAAAATTCATTTTATTTCGACAAAATCTCGTGACAAATTTATAAAATCGTATAGAAAAATTGTTAAATCAAATCCTAATAAATACCCTCAACAATCTTTCTCACGTAGAGATCTTTCACCACCCGAACTTAAATTACTCTATTCCCTTAGAAAACAAGCTTTTAATGCAAATTTAAATTGTAAATTATATAAATACATTGTTGTAGACTTGACTATTATTGAATTATCTGACCCAAAACCACTCCACAACAGACAGCCATAGGTAGTTTTAGACAATCACAAAATTAATTGCTATAATAACATTAATAGTATTCCCTGTATTCTTTTAAACGCTCGATCATTAATAAGAAAGATTAGTGATTTATATTTTTTAGTAGAAAATCAATCACCAAAATTAATATTTATTACGGAAACATGGATAAAAGACAATTCTATTTCAGAAAATGAATTATCTATAAACAATAAATACCATGTTATATTAGCAAATAGGAAAGTTAAACTTGGGGGTGGATGTGCTATACTTATTTCTATAGAAATTCCATATCAAACCTTTTTTTCTGGTTCCAAATATCAATGTGAATTTATAAGTTTAAATATATTCTTACCAAAGAAAACAAACTTATGTTTAATTTACCGCCCTCCTAATTGTAAACCCACAAATACAGAAAAAATTTTAAAATTTATATCTAATAACCTTTGTGATAATTTTATATTTTGTGGTGATTTTAATATACCCAAAGTGAACTGGACAAATTTACAATCTAACTGTCACAATGGGAAAACTTTATTAAATTTTCTTTATCAAACAAATTCTTTTCAACACATTAATCAATCTACCAGAAATGAATCTAAATTAGATCTTGTCTTTTCTTCCCCTGAAAAACTTGTTCAAAATATAAATATTTTAGAACCTTTCTCTAATTCTGACCATAATATGATTTCATTTCAAATAAACTCAAAAATTCACATTAATAAAATTAAAAAAAATTTTAAAAAGAAATTTATCATTAAAAAATTTTAAACTATTAAATAAAGCATATGCAACTGTCAATTGGCACGATGAACTTTCATATTATTTTAATGTAGACTCAAAATATAAAGCCTTAATCGACATTATTTTTTATCTATACAATTCTATTATTCCTCTCAAACCACTTAAATCTATTATTAAAGAAAATTATCCTACCAGTATTAATACATTATCTAACCGAAAACATAAACTATATAAAGAATTAAAAAAAGATCCTCAAAACAATAATTTAAAACTTAAATATAAAATTATCTCTAGACAACATAGGAAACAAATACATAACTATTATGAAGAAAAAGATAGATTACTTATTTCAAAAGGAAAATCAGCCATTTATAAATTTTTTAAAAATAAAATAAATCAAATAGCCCCAATTCCAATTATTTCTGATGAAGATGGATTTATCTATAAAAACACCATTGAAAAATGTAACATTTTTGGACATACATTTCAAAAATATTATACAAAAACAAATTCTATATCATTAGCTAATATAGCTCACTTAAATGAAAGTAAAATAAAATTAAATGACTTAAACTTTACAGTTTTAGAAATATTTGAAGCATTAAAAAATGCTCCGAATAAAAATTCTACCTCACCAGATTCTATTCCATACATACTTCTAAAAAACTGTGCATTAACTCTTGCTCCAATCTTAACAGAACTTTTTAGACAAATCCTTGATGATTGAGAAATTCCAGAAATATGGCGACAATCCATAATTATTCCTATATTTAAGAAAGGTGACAAAACAATTGCAAAAAACTATAGACCTATATCACTCACATGCACTCTATGCAGAATATTCGAAAGAATACTATCTGACAAAATTATAATTTTCCTTCACGAATATTTTAATATAAATCAATTTGGATTTCTTAAAAATCGTTCAACTATAACACAACTACTCACAATGTTAGACGATATTTACATTAATATTGATAAAGAAAAAAAAGTTGATATTATCTACATTGACTTTGAAAAAGCCTTTGATACAGTACCTATAAATATATTAATACAAAAAATTAAATTGGCTGGTATAGATGGAAAAATACTTAAATTTCTGACAAATTTCCTAACGAAAAGAACATTCCATGTGAAGATAGATGATGAACTCTCAAATAAATATGAAACTTATTCAGGAGTCCCACAAGGCAGTGTACTTGGACCTCTTCTATTTAACTTATTTATTAATGACTTACCAAAAATTCTTCCTAATGAAGTAAATATTAAAATGTATGCTGATGATGTTAAATTATATATAATTCATAATAATGATATCTGTAGAAATAAATTATCAGAAAGTCTCAATCTTATACAATCTTGGTCAAAAAACAATGGAATGAAAATTTCAATTAATAAGTGCTTTTGTCTTTACCTTGGTAAAGACAATAATGAATACCAATATTACCTAGATGATCAACCAATTAAAAAAGAACACAGTATACATGACTTAGGAGTTATTATTGATAAAAATTTATCATTTTCTAATCAAATAGATAAAATAACCAAACAAGGATATTTTTTAACACATCAAATATTCCGCACTTTTAAATCACGAAATCTTGACACTTTAATTTTTATATATAAAACATATCTACGTCCTTTATTAGAATATGCTACAGAAATATGGAATCCTATGAGAAAAGATCAAATAAAAACTCTTGAAAAAATCCAAAAATTATACACTAAAAAAGCATTTTATAAATGTGGACTTATGCAGAGATCATATGAAGATAGACTAAAAATTTGCAAACTAAAAAAACTCGAAGAAAGAAGAATTCTTACAGACCTTTGTATGACACATAAAATTCTTAAAAATTACACTCATTTGGAACCAGAAAAATATTTTACTTTAACCAAACGGGCAAAAAGAAGGGCTTTACTTTTACAAAATAGACCCTTTTCAAAAAAATCAAAAAATAACTTTTTTACCCGAATAATATCATTATGGAACAAACTACCAAAAGAAATAGTTGAAATTAATAATTTAAAAAAATTCAGGGAATATACAAAAGAAATAGATTTACTAAGACTGTCTGGAGTGGAGTAAATAAAATAAAAAATTTTTTTTTATATATATTTTTTAATTTTCCATTTTTTTGTTTTAATTTACCTAGTTATTTTTATTATTGACATTTTTATTTTTTTTATCACATTAGTGTACAAATATGTACCTGTGATTGTCTTATAAATAAATAAATAAATAAATAAATAATAGATTATGTCATGTTTTAAGGTATTATTCTGCTATCTTTACGTGGTTCCTCTTTCGTTTTTTTCTTATTTTTGGATGTTTGAATGCACAATTCAAGCAATATTTCGAAAATAACACCAAGATTGGGTCGGTAACCCGAAGCCCAAAACTTTTATTCCGACTCGAAATCAGACCCAAAGAAATTTCCTTCTTCTCAGCATCCCTAAACATACCTAAATTTAAATAAAATAACAGCATTTGCACAGCAAGCAATTAAAGCGAAATGATTAGCCAGTTGATAAACTATATAAGTTACAGCTGTGTCACTTGGATCCCAAAAATTTGGAATTTCAATGATTTTGGTAAATAAATAGTAATTTGTATAAAATGTAAAGCCAAACAAGGATACAAGCAAAATACTTAGTAATGATTTAAATAAACGTCTTGTTGACACTTAATTAATTATGAAATTAATTTATTTCCTTGTTAACAGTTCTGTACTAAAATAAGTAGAGTTATCGGTACATAAAAAATTAAACACTAGAACTGAACAGAAACCCCGAAAATTATCGCTTAGTCTTTTCTGTCAGCTTCAGTTAACCTAAAAATTTGGTCAACCAGACAGCACTAATCGAGAGGATTTAGTCCGCAATGGGTTTAGTCTTGCGGACTTTTATGCTTTTTAGCTTCTAAACTAGCGTTGGACAAAACCGTTTAATTTTGAAAAAAACCGTATACCATTTATAACGTGTATCTGAGATTCTTATACCATTCCGTTTAATTTTACCAAAAAACTCGTTTACTGTATACCTTTTATCGTTTAGTAAAAGGTATCCAGTCACCCCTGTCCCTATTCATTCTTGTCTTTTGGCACCTTCTCTTTTGATGTATTTACTATTCGTATAAACCTGTTATTCTATTCTTATCAGACGTGGGCGAAACGTTTCGTTTCGTTTCGTTGTTTCGTATGTTTCGTATGATTTTTACTGTTTCGTCTCGTTTCGTTACGAAACACTTTTAAATTTGTTTCGTTTCGTTTCGTTACGAAACACCTGTGATTTTTCAACGAAACGAAACAATTTTTTAAGCCTAAACTAAGGCCAAAATCTATAAAATTTACCATCTTTTATTGAAAACTTAGGACATAACACAGGCAAAAATTCTTCTACAAGGTTACAGCCAGTATTTTTTAATGTTTTTAAGTTTACTCATACTACTTTTAATGTATCAAAAAAATAAATTTCTTACAATTATTTTTCATTCCATGTCTGAGTAAATACCAAATTATGACATAAATAGCGGCACTGAAAATTTCAAAAAATAGACTAATACTCATAAAATAAACAGAATTATGGTGAAGAGTTGAAGTTATTCCGTTACATTTTACTTTGAAACTGAAAAAAATTTTTTGATAAAATTTTAAGAACAAATAAAATGACAAATAAAAAAATTTAAATTAAATTTGTTTAGTTTTTTCTCGAACAATATTTACAAAATAGTCATTATTCAATAACTTAATAGTTAATAGTAAATTATTATCTTTCAATTTTGCATCATTTTATGGGAAGGACTGTATTTTTGGATGCCTAATAATTCTTAGGCAAGTAAATTGAAAAAATTTAAAAATAAATACTTCATGGGGGCTAAAATACTTCATGGGGTGACTTCTCAGAAGTCGCAACTAGCTCCTGGGGCTACGATTTTGAATCATCAGATCCAAACTCAACCCCGTCATTCTAGACTAAAATAACTTTAAAATTACGTTGTATTTCCAGCAACATCTTGAACTTCCTCCCATGCCAAAGAAACATTAAATAAACCGTTTGTTAAAATACAAAGTGTAACAAGTATAAAATAAATTTTTTTGTTTAGATGGTTATATCTGAAAGGATAATAATGAACAAAATTTGACACTGGTCTACTCAAAAAAATGCAACAGAAACCTAAGTGTAGGGTTGGGGGCCCGATCCAGTCCAAAAGATCGAGTCGGGCATTGAATTTTGGCCCGAAAATGTCTCGGTCGGGCCGGCCCGAC